ATGTTGGCAAAATAATTAATATTTTATATATAAGACTTATTTAATCCTTAGATAAACACTAAAATGCTAGTGAGCAGATAGACACAGTTCACAAGAGAAAATATTACCTCATTCTCTTGGTCAGTCTTAGTGTTATTAAAGGTGGAATATCCAGACCTGTGTATGTCCTGATAGGATGCAGTATAGAGTATGTAGTGTCATTAGTTAAGTATTCACTCCCCCAGATTTAAGCATGTATATCATGCAAATAATTTTCATCTAGAAGAAATTCAGGCATTAGTGGGACAAGTTACATGACAACAAGAGAAGCAAATAAATAAAGCCAGAGTGTGGAATGTTCTGCACAGCTGACCCCTGGTCCACAGCATCACTGAATGGCATCGGAATAATACTGAGAACGATGTAATCTAATTGCTCTAGATTAAAAGAGATTTAAGAGGGGCGCCTGGGTGGCTTAGTTGGTTAAGCGTCCGACTTTCGCTTAGGTCATGATCTCACGGTTCGTGGGTTCAAGCCCCGCATCGGGCTCTGTGCTGACTGCCAGCTCAGAGCCTGGAGCCTGTTTCAGTCTGTGACTCCCTCTCTCTCTGACCCTCCCCTACTCATGCTGTCTCTCTCCTAGAAATAAATAAAACATTAAAAAAAAAAAAAAAAAGAATGGCATTACCTTTAAAAAAAATAAAAATAAAAGAGATTTAAGAGACATAAGCAAATGCAATGTGTTGACCTTCTTTGGATCCCAATTCAAACAAACCAACCATAAATGGACATTTTTAAAACATTTAAGGAAATTTGCTTATAGAACAAATGTAGATGATACCAGTGAACTATTGTTAATTTTATCAGGCATGGTGGTAGCCCTGTTGTTGTATAACAAAATTTTAGAATTTTTAGAGCAGGGGCAAAAGGACACAGTAGCTGGGATTTGCTGTAAAATACAGGAAAACCTTGGATTGTGAGTAACGTGTTTTGTGAGTGTTCCTCAAGATAAGCAAACATTTCTAATGAATTTTAACTTGATAAATGAGCGATGTCTTGCAATATGAATAGTACGTGATGCTGAATGTCACATGATCACAGCTGAGCTAATGGTTCTTGAAATTCATGTTGCTGTACAAGTGCTTTGGTTTACAAGCATGTTTCCAGAATGAACCATACTGGCAAACCAAAGTCTTACTGTATTTCAACAAAGTGGTACCTGCCTGGTTATTGATGGAGCATGTGACTCTTGATCTCGGGGTTACGAGTTCGAGCCCAACATTGGGTGTAGAGATTACTTAACAGTAAAATCTTGGGGTGCCTGGGTGTCTCAGTCAGTTAAGCCTCCGACTCTTGATTTCAGCTAAGGTCAGCATCTCACGGTTAGGGACACCTGGGTGGCTCAGTCCATTAAGCATCTGACTTCAGCTCAGGTCATGATCTCACGGTTCGTGGTTCAAGCCCCGCGTCGGGCTCTGTGCTGACCGCTAGCTCAGAGCCTGGAGCCTGCTTCAGATTCTGTGTCTCCCTCTCTCTCTGACCCTCCCCTGCTCACGCTGTCTCTCTCTCTCTCTCTCTCAGAAATAAATAAAACATTAAAAAAATTAAAAAAAAAAAAGATCTCATGGTTAGTTAGATCGAGCCCCATGTCTGGCTCCCTGCCGAGTGTAGAGCCTGCTTAAGATTCTCTCTCTCCCTTTCCCCCTCTCGCCCACTCATGCATGCTCTTTCTCTTTCTCTAAAATAAAAAATAAATAAATAAGCCTTCAGTTTGGGGCATGTGGGTGGCTCAGTCTGTTAAGCATTCAACTTTAGCCCAAGTCATGATCTCACAGTTCGTGTATTCGAGCTCTGCGTTGGTCTCTGTGCTGTCGGTTCAGAGCCTAGAGCCTGTCTCAGATTCTTTGTCTTCCTCTTTCTCTCTTTACTCCTCCCCTGCCTGTGTTTGCTTGCTCACTCTCTCTCTCACACACTCTCAAAAATAAATAAACTTTAAAAAATCTTCAGTTTGAAAAAAGAAGGAAAAAAATAGTAGAACAGAGAAAAGATAGATGAAGAAAATGAGGCAAAATCTTGATAATTTTTTTGGATCTTGGGTGATTCTACTTTTAAGTATAATGAAATTTTTGAGAGTAAAAAAATTTTTAAGAAGGGGGAAATGGTTAAATTTAGATTGAATTACAAAAACAAATTGAAGTGAGTCCAACCATTGCTGCAGAAGTTTGGTGGAACAATATATTTATACTGGTGATTGGAGTGTATATTGGTACAACCTTCTTAGAAAAAACATTTTGGCATTGTTAAGGAGAAAAACTTTGATCAAAAAATACTTATTGTATATTAATTATAGTAACAAATCTAGTAGTAACAAATCTAGAAATAACCCTAAGTATACATAACAGTAGGGAGGTGATAAATTTTGGAACAGTTACATGATAGAGTATAGTCCTTATAAAAGTAATTTTTAAGGGCGCCTGGGTGGCTCAGTCGGTTGAGTGTCCAACTTCATCTCAGGTTATGATCTCATGGTCCATGGGTTCGATCGCTGCATCAGGCTCTGTGCTGACAGCTCAAAGCCTGGAGCCTGCTTCAGATTCTGTGTTTCCCTCTATCTCTGCCCTTCCTCTGTACTTGCTCTCTCTCTCCCTGTCTCAAAAATAAACATAAAAAATTATGGGGCGCCTGGGTGGCTTAGTCGGTTAAGTGTCCGACTTTCGCTTAGGTCATGATCTCGCGGTTCGTGGGTTCGGGCCCCGCGTCGGGCTCTGTGCTGACTGCCAGCTCAGAGCCTGGAGCCTGTTTCAGTCTGTGACTCCCTCTCTCTCTGACCCTCCCCTGCTCACGCTGTCTCTCTCTCTCTCTCTCCTAGAAATAAATAAAAACCTTAAAAAAAAAATAAATAAACATAAAAAATTAAAAAGTAATTTTTTAAAGAATTGATTGGAACATTGGGAAATGCTTGTTTTGTTAAACGAAAAGAACAGAATACAGTTATGCACACACACACGATATAAAATTGGTTTAATATACAGTAGTAGCATCCATAGGGGAAACAAAGACTAAAAGATAGTAATACTGAAGTTGGTAGACTGTAAGTCTCCATTGGTGAAAATGAGTCAAGTTTTTCTTTATACTTTCCCATAATTTTTCCAGTGTTATGTATACATATACTATGTATAGTATAATGTATATATTATATATAATATATATAATAGTGTTTATAATATATAACATACTTCTATACTATATACTACTATAAATATTACTTATTACTGTATAAATATTATATGTGCTTATATATATGTTTATATATATGAGAAGAAGATTATCAGCATGAAAAATAAGAAATGAAAATAGCATGTCCTGATTCATAAATCTGTAGAAACTACTATTTTCTAGAAGTTTAATACAATTTTCTCTTTCCTATACATGCTGTCATTTGGTTATAAAGTCTTTTGTGAACACAGATTTGTAGAGTCTTCTGCTTGAATCGCTCAGTTTTTTATTTTCAGTCTCCATGTGGGTTGGTGGATTCACCTGGGAGAGGTTAAGTTCCCATTTTGTCTTTTTGTTTGTTTTGCATTGTTTTTCTTTATTTACAGTTTCAAGGTAAGACACGATTTTAAATTTTCCTTCCTGATAACTATTTAATTTTTGCTTCCTAGTAATCAAATACTTTTACTTTAACAGTTTTCCTCCTTAAAGTAAGATAACCACCTGACGCAGAACTCCTATCTGTAAAGCAAACAGAAAAGTGATATTCCTCTCCTCCCTCGTTCTAGATGTTTCCTTGTGGTATAAGGTTATAGCTTTTGGAAAACTGTTACCGTACATGATTGATTCATGATTATTTTCAACTGTACCTTTAAGAAAAAGCACATTTTAGGGGCCCTTCGGTGGCTCAGTCAGTTAAGCATCTGACTTGAGCTCAGATGATGAGCTCACAGTTGGTGAGTTCGAGTCCCATGTTGGGCTCTGTGCTGATAGCTCGGAGCCTGGAGCCTGCTTCGGATTCTGTGTCTCCCTCTCTCTCTCTGCCCCTCCCCTGTTCATGCTCTGTCTCACTCTCAAAAATAAAAATAAACATTAATTTTAAAAAATAAATAAAAGAAAAAGAAAAAGTGCACTTTATAGCCAAACACTGTGCTTTCATCCTGTACTAGTATAGCTGGTGTGGGGACCAGATGCTCCCATATTAGGTTTCATTTTATTAAATACACTGTGTCTTTTGGATGCCAGTTACCTCAGTGAGCACACACGGACCAGCCCTCATAACTATATCTGTCAGAAGGCTTAGCGCACTATCCATAGCCTCATAAACGCTATTGGTAAAAAGTATTAAAAAAGAATGTTTACGACCTTAATGTATCAGCTATACTTTTAATTAAAAATTAAGTGTGTCGGGGGACCTGGGTGGTTCAGTTGGTCAACTGTCCGACTTCAGCTCGGGTCATGATTTCATGTAAGCCCCATATCAGGCTCTGTACTGACAGCTCAGAGCCTGGAGCCTGCTTCAGATTCTGTGTCTCCTCTCTCTTCTCCTCCTCTGCTCACACTGTCCTCTCTCTCTCTCTCTCCCCCCCCCAAAATAAATAAACATTTAAAAACATTTTTTTAAATAAAGTGTGTCAATTGTACTTCAATTTTTAAAAATTAAAAATTTTTTGAAAGAGTACTTAAGATTTTAGTCCTACTAGACACTGTATGAATAAAAAGTTTTTTAAAATTTTTTTAGAGAACTTACGAGCAGGGGAGAGGGTTGGGGGGAGAGAGAAAGAGAGAGAATATCTTGAACAGGCTCCATGCTCAGCGGGGTGTTAATGCAGGGCTCAATCCCACAGCCCTGGGATCACTACCCCAGCCAGAATCAAGAGTCAGACACTCAACCAACCAAGCCACCCAGACGCCCCCACCCCCCAAAAATCTTAAACATCAGAAGACATTTGGAAAATAATTTCCAGATTTTTGGTTTGAGATATAAATTCACAGTTTTACATTCCTCTGTCACTTTTTCTTCTCAGGGATCCATCTGTGTCTAAGTCTATAGAACGAATCTTCAAAATCTGGGAAGACAGAAATGTGTACCCAGAGGAAATGATAATGGCACTGAGAGAAGCTTTGAGTAAGTGTATTTTCTCTCCTTAAAAAAAGAAAAAGAAATCATTGAGTCTTTAAAATTATATATATTTTATAGATCTAATCCTACTGTTTGACAATGAAAAATAAAGTTTTGGATTGGGCCCTATTTATTTAAAATTAAATACTTACAAAAATCTGTTTGAATTAAAATTTAAATAGAATTGGTTTGGGGAGGGTTGGATTTTGTTTGTATTGACTAGAGAAAGTCACACATATTACCTGATGATGGCTATCTGATCATTTTCCAACGGTTATTTTACTTTGAGCATTCTAAACTATTCATGTTTTTGTGTTTAACAATTACTGGCCTGTCCACTTACTGTTGGAGGATTTTTTTTGACGAGGTTTCAATTTCTAGTAAGCTATTTGATATTAAGCATATATACTGAGCATTCTTCAGTCTCTGTTTTGGTTTACATTTGCAGTAAGTTGTGTACTTATTTTTAAAAAGTTATTTAGTTACAATATTAGATGCATTTACTTGAGTCATTAAATGGAAGTTGGTGATATCTGACACCATGATCATTATTGGACTAGAAATTTGCTTTAAAAATAACAACTTCTACGAAGCTGTTAAATTCTTCATTTGAATGTGTTAACTAGTATTTTTAAGCGTCCTACCCTATTCTTCTCAAAAATCAGTAATTTTATTGATGATAGAAGTCACGTCTATTTGACAGCTTCTTAGATATGGTGGGTGTTTTAATGTTTTTATAAAAATGAAAGACAAAGAAACAACACACAGTCTCGGATTGCCTTTTTTCAATGCTACAACTCTGACACTGAAGTGGACAGACAGAGCAGCTTCCCGTAATGCCAGATTGCAAAAACTGAAATGTTTTCCAGGTACCACTTTCAAAACTCAGAAGCAGCTGAAAGAAAATCTGAACAAACAACCGAATAAGCAGTGGAAGAAATCACAAAGTAAGGAACAAAATCTCAACTAATATAAAATTACCTCCACTTTTTGGAGCAGAAGAAAATGTAGACCATTTGACATCGTACCTGGCATACACCATGGGGAAGCCCGTGTTTCCCAGGCCTGGGAGAGTGACCCAGACTTCTCCTAAACAAGCCATCATGGAGTTACTTCTTTAAAAAAACCAAACCAAAACAAAAAACCCTTCTTTTAAGCAAAGGAAATGCAGAAAAGGGGTTTAAATGAGCAAAGATTCAAAAGTAGTTGGGGGAGTGAAAGAAGAAAAATGCTTGATAGTGGCCAGGCTGACTCTCAGATTGAAAGATACATGAAGGTAGAGGCAGCCATTAAACAGCAGAGCTGAAGAGGAGACTAGGCATTAAGAAGCATATATGTGGGAGCCATGAAATCCTTCAGATTTGGGGACACTGCCAGATTAGACCTGGGCCTCAAATCGTGGCCAGAAGCCCATTCTCTAACAGGAGCTCCTGCTGTGTTTGTCGTGTTTACCCAGCATGAGATCCAGGGAGTATTGCATGTGATAGGCTGCTGTGGGTCAAGCTGAGGAATATTGAGAAGGACTGGAAGGTGTGGAGGGAACAAGGTAGAAGACAGAATTGGGAGGTAAAACAAGACACGTGGGATGGTGTTATTCCAGCAAGCATGTGATACTCCTCTTGATGCAGGGAGTCCTCTGACATCCTTTTGGTCGTAAGTTGCATGCTTAGGAACAACAAGAGTCATCATGTCAGCCAAAGTTGAACCACAATGGTAATGGACTTAGAACTTTCCCTGCCTGATTTTGCTGTGAATTGAGTCAGCAGAAAAAGAAATCCAAAGTTTAAATCGTAGGAATAGAGTTGATGTTTGTAAGTAATTTTCTTCAGCCAGTGCTCAGGATTAATTGGAAGTCCCGCTCTTGAACACTCCTGATTGGAAGTATTGAGATCCTCTTACACTCAGACTAGGAAAAAAGGTACTTCATGTATCTCAGAATCTAAGGCTTTATGATTTAAAGGGTTTGTTGGAGGTAAGTAGGTTAGACATATCTAAATAGTATATTTTTTGGGGCACCTGGATGGCTGAGTCAGTTAAGCGTCCAACTTTAGCTCAGGTCATGATTTCGCGGTTCATGAGTTCAAGTCCCACATCGAGCTCGCTGCTGTCAACACAGAGCCTGCTTTGGATCCTCTGTTCCTCTGCCCCTGATCTGCCCCTCCCCTGCTTGTGTTCTTTCTCTCAAAATAAACATCTTAAAAATAAATAAATAATACATTTTGATATTGGCCATGCGTGGAAGTGTTTAAATTTCATGTTTGAGGAATATGAATATTCAAGGAATATGAAATATTATAGGAATACTTACTAGGAATTATGTTATTACTTAAATATGCATATTTGACATATGTTCATAAGTACACCCTTAATTACAAACTTGAAAATTTTCCTCAACTTTTTGTGTCTGTATTCTTAATGACCTTTTGTTTAATTCAACAGCATCCACGAATCCAAAGGCTGCTCTCAAGTCTAAGATAGTTGCAGAATTTCGAGTAAGTTAAAGAATTCATTTAATGTGCCAAAGCTTTATTCACCCCATATAGTCCAGTAAAATTTATTTTTATTCAGTTGTACATCAATTATATTTTAAACAAGTTTGAACTATTCTGAAGGAATCTCGATTGCGATCAGATTTCTTGGAGTTTTATGTGTTGCCCTAATGGAAGAATTAACCTTCTTCCAGAATATCTATTACCAAGCAAGTTCTGTACCAAGGCCCCCGACAAGGGCTTCATCCTTTGGGGAAGCACGACTAAGTTAGAACTTGCTTAGAGTTAACTATATTTATCTAATTAAAATTTAAAGAAGATATAAATGGACCTTTGACTTAGTCTTAACCTTGTATGCATCAATTAGCTTTGAATGATCAAGGAAAGGATCTTTTAAAGTATATAACTAAAAATGTGGGTTTGGTATGAATATTGGTTCTCTCGGTTTTGTTAGGTTTTAGACATGTTTTATGTTAATGGGAAAGGATTGAGTAAATGAGTGATTTGACACATGAGATCTGGCTCTGCTCTGTCCTCAGTCCCAGGCCCTCATTGAAGAGCTGTTGCTGTACAAGCGCTCAGAAGATCAGATCGAATTGAAGGAAAAACAGCTATCAACAATGAGGGTGGATGTGTGCAGTACGGAAACTCTCAAGTGTTTAAAAGGTAATGCTTACATCTTTTTAAGTAGAATACCTCATATTTTGTTCCCAGATCTGCTATTTTTCAATGATCAGACTGACCTCTCCCCTAAAGAGAACCTTAGATTTTGGACAACAGTTGTGGCACTTCTGATTTTCCAGGTAGTGACTTCATGCATATAAATTTCACAAGTAAAGTTCTGTCCTTCACATTGTATACCTCAAACTTACACCGTGTTGTATGTTAATTGTATCTCTCAATAAATCTAAAAAGAATAATAAAAACAATTTTGTCCTTTTCCTCACTTCTAGTGCTTTCTTGCTGTATTGGGTTATATATAGACAAATGTATTCCACACATGTGACAATGTGGTTTGGGTATATTCTTTACTATTTAAAGTTTAGTCTAGAGAGAGAGCACGAGCTGGGGAGAGGGTCAGAAGGAGGGAGGGAAAGAATCTTAAGTAGGTTCCACATTCAGCACAGAGTCTGACGCGGGACTTGATCCCATGACCCTGCGATCATCACCTGAGCCAAAATCAAGAGTCAGATGCTCAACTGACTGAGCCACCCAGGCGCTCCTGGGTATGTTCTTTAATAAGGTCAGTGCAGTGCTCCATAAAATCTAGTTAGTTGCTTTCTTTTCCTTAGGTTGTAAGCTATATAATCATAAAATAATAATTAAAGGGGCACCCAGAGGACTCAGTCAATTAAGTGTCCGACTTGGGCTCAGGTCATCATCTCACGGCTCATGGGTTCAAGCCCCACATCAGGTTCTGAGCTGACAGCATGGAGCCTGCTTGGGATTCTCTCTCTCCCTGTCTTTCTGCCCCTCCCCAACTCAGGCTTTCTCTCTCTCTCAAAATAAATAAACTTAAATAACATACTAGAATGTAAGTCTCATGAAGGTAGAAATTATCCTTATTTGTTCCTTGCTGTATCCTAGTGCCTATAGCAGTGCCTGCTACATACAGGCATTTGATAAATATTTTTGAAATCATGAGTAAATGGCTGCCAGCTATCATTCTGTGTGCCTGTTTTGTTCTTGCACCATACTTTAAAAAGAATTTTTTTTAACATATCTTTATTTTTGAGAGACAGAGACAGAGTGCAAGTCGGGGAGAGGCAGAGAGAGAGGGAGACACAGAATCTGAAACAGGCTTCAGGCTCTCAGGTGTCAACATAGAGCCTGACGCAGAGCTTGAACTCACGAACCGTGAGATGATGTGAGCTAAAGTCAGATGCTTAACCGACTGAGCCCCCCAGGTGCCCCTTTGCACCATACTTTAAATTTAACGATCATTATCTAATTTAATCCTCACCCAGAAGGTATTAAACAACCCAGAAGCATATTAAAAAGCTCCATTTTGTACACAAGTCTGAGGCTTCATAGAGAGAGAGGTAGCTTGCACAAGTTATACGGTTGGTAAAAAGCAAAGCCAAAATTTCTACCCACATCTGAAGCCATATTCTGGTAGTGTCTGGGAAAGACTTCAGAGAGTTAGTAACCATTTGTAATCACTGTTGTTGAAAAAGCAATTCATGGTTTGTACTCTTCTGATAACAAGTTATCAGGGATCTTCAGATGGGAAAGAAGAATTTTTAGCGTGATACACACAGAGGTCACTTCATTTTGACTTTTCTCAACCTCCATTTGCTCTCATTCCATGGTGAGTCTACGTGAAGAATAGAATAGAGCCTCATTCAGTTACTCCTGATTAGCAGCTCAGCTTCCAGTTTTCGAGGAAAAACAATCAACAGACTTTGGTTTAGCTGAACTTTCTTTTCTTCACCTTAATTACAGGGGCCTTGTGACACACACTCCTCGCTGCACTCGGGCAGGTTCCCATGAATTGTTTTTATAATATGCTTTGTGGGTTTTGTGATTTGGAGAAGCTCCTTTCAGGTGGAACTGAGGCTAAGAATATTACATACTAACACAGCTAAGAACAGATTCACAAATTATGTAAAGAGGGTTTTTCTTCAAAAGATTAATTTTTTTACGTTTTCTGTTTTATGCTGAAACAATTATTTCCTGTTATTTTAGATAAGACAGGTGGAAAGAAGTTCTCCAAAGAATTTGAAGAGGCAAGTTCCAAACTTGAGGAATTTGTGAATGGTTTAGATAAGCAGGTGAAAAATGGGCCCTCGCTAACAGAAGCACTGGAAAATGCTGGAATTTTCTACGAAGCACAATACAAAGAAGTGAAGGTGGTGGCCAATGTAAGTAATAATTAAAGCTAACATGCATCGATTGCTTACCAGAGACCAGCGGCTGTTAACTCTAAGGGTTCTCTGACTCTAGGGGTAAACTTTATTACCTCCAATTCATGGATGAAGTTACTTTTAAAGATTAGTGACCTTGTGCAAAGTGGTAGAGCCAGCAAGTGGAAACGTGTAAATTAAGACCCGGTTCTTTCTGACACTAGAGCTCACAGGTAGCCTAACCATTGAGCTTTACTAAAGCCTAATGTTTTAGCCATTCACAATGCGTGTGCCAAGTTACTGTTATAGGATATAAAATTGGGCAGAAGTATGTACACTTTCTTGTTTTACCACAAAACTGGAGGGAAACATTCTGTTACTACTGGCCTCTGAAAGAAACTTACTTATGCTTATTTTTTTACATGGTTTTAATTGCTACATCTGGTTATAAAAGTGTACAGTAGAGTAGATGCCACCAGTCGCACTTACTAGAAGCTGTCCCTTTTATCTCATTTAGCTCAGTTTTTTTTGATATTTGCCTTCATATTTCTGAATAATATGCCTATATCGTTCTTTCTTGATTTATCCTATTTAAGACATATCTATTAATTTTTTGGCACGACAGATAAGGCTTTTGCTTATATGCCACTTCCTCCTTCTCCCAACAACATTATAAAATTCTTAAAAAAAAAAAAATTATAGGGGCGCCTGGGTGGCTCAGTCGGTTAAGCGTCCGACTTCAGCTCAGGTCATGATCTCACAGTTTGTGGGTTCGGAGCCCCATGTCGGGCTCTGTGCTGACAACTAGCTCGGAGCCTGGAGCCTGCTTCAGATTCTGTGTCTCCCTCTCTCTCTGACCCTTTCCTGCTCACGCTGCCTCTCTCTCTCTCAGAAATAAATAAAAATATTTTTTTAAAAAAATTATAGAACTCATTTATTTTTTTTTTAATTTTTTTATTTTTTAATTTACATCCAAGTTAGTTAGCATAGGATGCAATAATGATTTCAGGAGTAGATTCCAGTGATTCATCCCCTATGTGTAACACCCAGTGCTGATCCCAACAAGTGTCTTCCTTAATGCCCCCAACCCATCTAGCCCATCCCCCCACCCACAGCCACTCCAGCAACCCTGTTCTCTGAATATGAGCCTCTTATGTTGTGTTCCTCTCCCTGTTTTCATATTATTTTTGCTTTCCTTCCCTTATGTTCATCTGTTTTGTATCTTAAATTCCACATATGAGTGAAGTCATTCGATATTTGTCTTTCTCTGACTAATTTCGCTTAGCATAATTAACCTTCTAGTTCCATCCACAGAGTTCCAAATGCAAAATTTCATTCTATATATAAAATTTCATATATATATATGTATACCACAGCTTCTTTATCCATTCCTCCATCAATGGACATTGGGCTCTTTTCATACTTCGGCTGTTGTCGATAGCACTGCTTTGAACATTGGGGTGTCTCTGCCCCTTCGAAACAGCACACCTGTATCCCTTGGATAAATACCTAGTAGTACAATTGGTGGGTCGTAGGGTAGTTCTATTTTTAATTTTTTGAGGAACCTTCAAACTGTTTTCCAGAGCGGCTGCACCAGTTTGAAGTCCCACCAGCAGCGCAAAAGAGATCCTCTTTCTCCGCATCCTCGCCAACATCTGTTATTGCCTAAGTTGTTGATTTTAGTATAGAACTCTTTTAAATCTGTTGATTACCTTCGTAAATGGTAGTACTATATTTACGATTCTTTGACCACTAACTCTAGCCTCTCCACTTTGAAAATGTGGTGATTAACATCCCTCTCCTTTCCCATTAGTTTTCATTCCTTCCTTCAGTTTCCCAACTTCAGTAAACTTGAGTTTTACAATGTTAAGGTTGATAATATTTACATTTCACTCTAATCATAACTGTTACTTCCTTGCTCTAAAGGCTGAAAGTTAATACAGACAAACTTAACAGTACAACTGTGTAAACATTGTTCACGTTGAGGTCTTACAGTAGCTATGGTTATATTAGAGATTTTTAATTTTTTCCTAGAATTTTTTTTGCATTGTTTGCCTTCTCATAGCCTTTTTTTCTCTCTTTCTCTAAATTCTCTTGTCTCATCAAGTATTATCAATTCACATTTTACCCAGAAACCTCCCTACCTGAACTTCTTTCTCCTGCTCCAGTTTTAAGTGGCAAGCTCTCATTTTAGGACTACTCTTCACTGATATTCTTAGTTGAGCACTCTGTTTTATAGATTCCATGTCTTCTTTTTTTTTTTTCCTAATTAAAAAATATTTTAATCTTTATTCATTTTTGAGATAGAGACAGAGCATGCGTGGGGAAGGGGCAGAGAGAGAGGGAGACACAGAATCCAAAGCAGGCTCCAGGCTCTGAGCTGACAGCACAGAGCCCGATGTAGGGCTTGAACTCCCAGACTACAAGATCATGACCTGAGCTGAGGTTGGACACAACTGACTGAGCCATCCAGGCGCCCTTTTTTTAAAAATTTTTAATGTTTAGTTTTGAGAGATAGAGACAGAGTGCAAGCAGGGGAGGGGCAGAGAGAGAGGGAGACACAGAATCTGAAGCAGGCTTCAGGCTCTGAGCTGTTATGTTACCAGAGAGCCCAACGCAGGGCTCAAACCCACCCAGCCCCACCCCACCCCCCATGTCTTCTTTTTTTGGTTTTCTGTCCTGTTTTGGTGGAGCACATTCTCCATTAATTTCCCTAAATGGGAGCTTGTGAGAGAGAAATTTTTTCTGAGTCCTTAGATCTCAAAATGCCTTTATCCTGTTATCACATTATTAGTTTGGCTGTTTGAAAAGCATTTTCCTTCACAGCTTAAAAGGCATTACTCCACTGTATTACTGATACAAAGTTTTTGCAAGATCTTTTGTGGGGCACTATTTTTTCCTGTCCGGAAGCTTTCAGGCCTCCATCCATAGTGTTGTGAAATGTTTACAATGATATAGCTGTATATGAAGTTTTGTTTTTCATTCATTATGGGCTGTTTGAAGGGCTCTTTCAGTGTAAAGATTGGTGTTCTTCATTTGTGAGATAATTTCGTTCTCTTCTAGGTTCTCATGTTTTCTCAACCTTGATCTTTTTGTCTCCTTTCTGGAAGATCTTGAGGTGTTTCCCCTCTAGTTATCTTGGTCTTTCTTTTATGATTCTAGTTTTTGTCAAAAATCAGATAATATCTCTGTCCATTTATATATATATATATTTTTAATATTTTTATTTATTTTTTTATTTCTAGGAGAGAGAGAGAGACAGCGTGAGCAAGGGAGGGTCAGAGAGAGAGGGAGATACAGAAATAGGCTCCAGGCTCTGAGCTGGCAGTCAGCACAGAGCCCGACGTGGGGCTCGAACCCACGAACCACGAGATCATGACTTAAGCGAAAGTCGGACGCCCAACCGACTAAGCCACCCAGGCACCCCTCTGTCCATTTATATTTAAGAATGAAGTATGAAAGGGGCTCCTGGGTGGCTCAGTTGGTTAAGTGCCCATCTCTTGGTTTTGGCTCAGGTCATGGTCTTGAAGTTCGTCAGCTTGAGCCCTACATTGGGCTTTATGCTGACAGTGCAGAGCCTGCTTAAGATCCTTGTTCTCCTATCTACCCATCTCTTCTCATGTTAATGGTCTCTCTCTTCTCAAAATAAGTAATTGAACTTTAAAAAATGAGGTATGAAAAAATTGAGAAGCTTTCTCTACAGAGATATGGATTATTTATTCATGGGTTTAACTAGTAAAGTCTGTAAAGGTGAAGAGTTGGCTGTTACTTGGCAGGAGTTGCCCTAAATGTCAGAAGGTTAGAATTTTTTTTGCCAGGAAATTTTCATTCTTTAATGAGGTCACAATATTTTGCCCAAGTCATAGTGCCTTGGCTGCCAAAAATGGAGATTTCGAGGGAGGTGGTATTGAGTGTTTGGTAGTCACACTTTTAATTAATCATCCTGATTTCAACCCCACTACTCACTCTACCTTTCTGTACTCCTCATTTCCTACATAAAAGCTGCTCAGGGATTCTACAAGTCAGATCAGCTCCGTTCCCCTACCGCACACTCCTAACCTCATTTTTCTCTCCCCTGCCTCATCACTTCTTTCTTACTCTTCCATCCTCCTTCTCTCTTCTAAAAATTTGTAGAAATATTTTTCCCAGCTATCCTTCTAATTATTGGTTTATACCTTTGTATTAAAAAAGTATTTTTTAATGTTTATTTTTGAGAGAGAGACGGGGAGACAGAGCTTGAGCTGGGGAGGGGCAGAGAGAGAGGGAGACACAGGATCTGAAGCAGGCTCCAGGCCCTGAGCTGTCAGCACAGAGTCCAACGCGGAGCTTGAACTCAGTTGAGATCATGACCTGTGCTGAAGTAGGAAGCTTAACTGACTGAGCCACCCAGGAGCCTTACCTTTGTATTTTGTTGTTGTTGTTGTTGTTGTTGTTGTTGTTCTTGTTTTATTTTGAGAGAAAGCAAGAATGCTAGCAAGGGAGGGGCAGAGAGAATTCCAAGCAGGCTCTGCACTGTCAGCACAAAGCCTGACATGGGACTCCATCTCCTTAATTGTAAGATCATGATCTGAGCCAAAATCAAGAGTCCTGTACTTAAGCGACTTAGCCACTCATGTGTCCCCCCTCACCCTTGGTGGTTTGTTTGTTTTGTTTTGTTTTGACTATTCATTTTATAGGAATCCCAGGAGGGAGACGCAGTGACTAGGAGTGGTCAGTTCACCATTTTGACCCAAAAGACAATTCAGTAATTCTTGAATACTGACATATGATCTCTTTTTTAGGAAATCATTTAGTCTGCTTTGGAGGATCGTCAACAAATGAATGGGGGAGGTTTATTCAGCAAGTATTTATTGAGTACACATAATTGCACTTCTGTGTAATAAATGCTATAACAGCTGTAACTGTAAAATGCCATATGAACAGATTGAATAGGTGCTTTAGGTAATTTGGGACTGGGGAAGGAAGATATGGAGAAAAATTTCTCAAAGGAGCTAAACTCTGAAATTACAGTGATTAGT